TGGGTAGTATAGATCAGTTCAGGTGGCATCCACCCACACTTCGGTCGCCTACAATCTCCACTCAACCTGAATGGCAAATCCACGTAAGTCCTCCGACTCTAAACGAAGTTGAGAAAGCTATAGGAAATCTAAAACAAGAGAAAGTAGTGGTCTCTGAGAGATTGATCCCCGAGATTTGTAAGGATGGTGGCCCAGTTTTAGCAGTTAGATTGATTGAGATCTTAGGCAGGATCTGGAAGTAATCCACTTCGTCCGACCGGCTTTTGCCAACTTGCGTCACCCTGCCAGTGTTAGGAAAACGTTACTAGGAATGAATCACAAATCAATTGCTGGAGTAGTGAATCTTCATCATTTTATTTGGTAATGACGTGTTACATATGTCTAAACAGTGTTGTTTTATGTGGGGGCTATGCTGAAAAAACAGCTAGGGGTGACCAAACCAAAGTATTGGGGGCAAATCCATGAAGTCATCGATAATTGGACTGAGACCTGTTCGTAGGTGTAGACTATATGGTTTGGGTCCTCGAGGCAGTCCATAACCGGTGTTAGAGACTTTGAATGATATAGCTCAAAGTCGTTGCAATAGTGCAGGTGCATCCATTCTTTGTCTTCTCTCAAATTCTAATCTGAATTCCTCATGACCTTATTCTCTTTTCAAGTTTTTTCACTGGATTATTATTCTACTACTTACCACGAAATCTGAACTGACCATTTCTCTGTGCCAATGTGGTACTGGCTTGGACTGATGTACGTACGTACCACGTCCAACGTTGTTGCTGACCGTAATAATGGGTGTTTCGTTTGTCGTCTGTAGATTGGAGGCCAGATCTTGTTGACGATGGCTCGGATTGGCCACCTTTCGCAAGCAGACGAGTCTTCATCTTCACATCAGTTATGTTTACGGCCCATCGTTACTATTAGCACGTGCCGATGGAAATCTTATGTGTTTATTTTGTAAACTGAAGGGCTTCGTGCGATTTGTGGAAATTGTAGCAAATGTGTTATGGCACGAACACCGGTCATAGTTTTCTGTTTATAGCTGTCGGTATAAAGACTTATCTTGAATGGCCTTTGTCAACGGTCCGATAGTATAAAAACTGTATAACCAGTTAAGTCTTCGTGTTTGGGAATCTCTTCTATTTTACCTCGCCACAGGGTTAAAAAACATTCCTGGTTAACACACTAGGTGTAACAAAATTGTTGAACTTTCGCGATAATAGGTTAACTGTGAATTGCAATTAGGTTTCGCTAGTGTAAGTCGGACTTTGCATAAAAAAACGTGCGGAAGTCATAGAACATGAAAATGATTTTACGAAATAAGGAATACAATTTTGTCCGTAACGTTTCCCTAATCGATTATCTTGACCCACGTCAAACCTGAAGTCAGGAATAACGGGTTTAAAAGGCACTTTGACGTTTCGAGAAGTATGTGATCTTAGTTGGCTAGTTGTACACCTGTTGGTCATCTGGGGCGTACGTGTGATCGAGCGCCCTCAGCTAGCGTGTCTAATAAATTTTACGTGAATATCAAGTTGAGAAGCTTACTGCACTACTTATATTAGGGATTTATTTACCGTTACAAAGTTGACGCACATGTATGTTAAACAACCCCAGCAGCATGAAACCTTTTTCCTTTAAATGAATATTCTATGTTAATTTCTATAACAAATCAGTACTTTATATTTTACGGTACGTCATCATCATATCACTTTCTGGTCAGTTGGCAAACAGTTACCACAAATTTGATCACAAATGATAAGCAACAACATCCAAATTACCTTTGTTTATCTTAACACGTACGACATTTGATTACAATAAGCATGGGTAGTTCAATTAAAACCAGATTACACTATCAATATAAAAATGACAGTCAACTGATATTACTGATTGGTTCTGATAGCCATATACTGACTAATCATTAAAACAGCTGATAATAACAACGCAAGACGACAGTAGGATTTCTATTATTATACATATTTATTTACGATTTAATAAGATGTTTAAATCAAAATTGGTCATCATCAGCTAGATTGCTGCTTGAAAGAGGAAGAATCGGCCATGTAAACAAGTTTCCATCAGTTCCACAGGTATATAGCTCTAAATGACGTTCATTCCAAACACAAGCACGTATCTGAAATTCATAAAAACGTTGCTCAGGACAAATGATGCTGTAAACAATTTTAAGTACCTAAGAGTAGGGCTTCAATACTAAACACCTTTCCAAAGACGTCCGTGGAATGGTTACTTTAGGCTGGATCAACAATAAATTAATGAACATATAAACAGGAACAATTATAGCCAAGAACACGGGTTCAATTAGACCAAGTTTCCTTTTAGTCATAACGCGTGGGAGTGGCCAAAGTTATGCGATTCCATTATTTTCTCATTCGAAAATTTGTACTGTAAAAGTATTGCTTATTAGAGGAATTTTAGTATTAATGGAATAATCAAATGTAACCCTACCAAACTACTTCATCTATTATTCGGATGAGGTATAATGTCTACAAGGAAATGTGAGGATATGGGAGGAACAATATATTGAATTTCAGGTAAGTCAGCCAATTAGAATCAATCTGATGTTACTAAAGCTACTAGGGGTGCTGTACATTGATCTTTTGGAATTATGATTCAAATGTGTACCAAAGTGAATAAAGAAGATAGATATCGTCAATGCTTACAAGGTTGAGCTCATAAATAAATATAAATCGTGTTGATGCCATTCAGTTAGGATACGTTCCTTGCAAATTTAAGGCAATAAAGTACACAGGCACATAAGACTAATTAGCGAGTTACAGAGTAGCTTTAGTAGTTGCCACCGCTACTACGTACTCCTTTCTTTTACGAGTTTACGTTAATCTATGGGTGACTTGTGAATGATAACACTAATCATAGTGAAACAAAGTGCATCTACAAAAAATTCCTTACATATTTAGTTAGGTATAAAATATGAATACTAGAAAAACATTGCATAACAATAAAACGAGTTTATTGACGGCTATAATGTTAATTAATAAGCGTAATTCAGAAAACCCACTTGTGAAAAGTGCCGCGTTATGATTTTAGTCGATGTATTGTGCCTAGACGCTGAAGCAATCAATAACCGATTTTTCACAGGGACGAAAATACATAACGGTGAGGCTCCCCACAAATGTCCTATTGACCCATGTGTAACGTCCAATCTAATCGGTAAGACCGATGATTGTGGACTGTGACTTGCACTTGCTGAGGAATTAGAATTTGTAAAAGGTAGACTTCTAGTGTCATAAGGTTGATCACTTTCAGAGTTAAGAAGTATGTTTCCAAAGTTGACAGGACGCAATCTAGGGATATGTGATGATTGCTCACAATCACTTGGACCAGACGTCCATAGGCGAAGAGATGCAGCATTAACTGTTAATCCAGAACCTCCCCATGAAATTAAATGCAAGCCATCTGACGAGAATTTGAGACCTAACACAGGTCCGGTATGTGCAGTAGCTGAAAAATGTACAATATGTATGAAACTGCATAAATTTCGACTGACTGTTGGTTTGAAGTGGAATGTAAAAGCAATTCAATAAAATTAAAATCATTTACCTGGAAACCATAAAATCTCTATTTTATGAATACTCGCCTGATTATTTAAAAGAGAATCGACTAAGGAAAACAACAAAACCCATACACAGGCGATATACCTACTAAAAAACATGAGAATCACGGCGACCGTAAAAACCTAAGATAATATCTGATCGTACACTAGAAAAAATGTGGACGGTTGATTTTGAGCATTTTAAGGAAATTGAGAGTTACGTTTACACTTATCACACCAAAACAAGCTTATAATTAAGATACAATTAATCAAATCTCTGTTCATTCGATTACATCATTAAAGGATAGAAGGGATTATACAGTTTAGTGATTAAGATACTATTATGTGATATAGTTTATTGATTTAAGAACACAAAAATTGGTATGAAGCGCTTACGTGAATATAATACAGACACAAAGAAAATGAGATTGTCAAGACACGGAGAAACGAGAGTAGGTATAAAAAAGAAAACACGAAATTAATGAATGAGTAAAAATTAACAAAAGCAGTTCCGTTAAGGAACATACATGCTTAGGTCAAAGAAGTCGATGATACTAAGTGAATTATCGTCACTGTGTCCGAACACGTTGCTATACATCCCCGTTACCAAGATGGTTCTGTCACTGAATATGAGCAATCCTTTCTAGACAATGATGATCAAACACAGACAGTAGCTTAATATCCTCATGATACGAATGCAAGTCACCACGTCAGATTGATATGCTAGAAATATTAAGAGTTTACCTTAGTCAGTAAACGAGAGCGAGGACCCGACGACACGATGGGCTACTCTAATCCAAGTGTCCCAAACCCATATTGAATAGAAGACTTAATATGAAGTAGAACATGTATTCCACAAGCATCCAGAAAGTACGAGGTCCGAGTCCATAAGAGGCTAAGTATCCGGGTCCAGGTTATAAAACGTTACATATAATGCGTATTTATACAGTTAGGTCGGTAGCTGCTACCTTGACGTGGTGGTCGGGCTTGCCTATCACGATGACGGAACCGAGCTATACTGGCTGGAACATATATTCCTAAAGGTTCTACCATGCGGGGAGGGTCGATTGGAGAACGATGAGACTAAAAGCAGCTACTCAAGGTCTGAGGGCGTAGTCGTACTGCTGACTCCCAGGTCTCCAAGACCAACATTAATCTACCTTCCTTTTCAGGTTCTTCAAAAAACTACCTTCCACAATGTGGGCAGCCGGGAAGTGACAACCGCCCTCATACCCGTAACAGCACGCGAGACCAAATTGGTCAAAATCAAATCCTTTCCACACCCCCTATTATTTCTCTTATCTACTCACATTCCTTTATCTCCCCGCAGCTCTGCTGAAAACGATTCGAGTTGCAGCATTTAATGTACGTACATTATGTCAAATAGGGCAACAGTCTTCGTTAGCTAGAACAGTAGAATCTCGCTCAATCGATGTATGCTGCGTCTCGGAAACGCTCATACAGGATCCTAATAAAGTCATTAATCTGATTTCGCATCGTCAAAACAAAGAAGCAGCTCGATTTACTCTTCGTGTGTCCGGTAGCCCTGATGCTGCTTCCCGGAGTCTCGCTGGTGTAGGTATAGCATTGAGCCGTAGGGCAGAACTGGCGCTCCTAGACTGGATCCCAGTAGATAGTCGTTTGTGCGCCGTCCGACTGAACAGGACAGAAAGGATTCGGAAGGACAGGGACACTCATCGTTGCCTCTTCGTCGTATCTACCTATGCCCCCACTGACTGCAGTTCAAACGATGTAAATGACGAGTTTTACAGAAAGCTTTCGGACCTCCTCCAAAAAGCTAGGTGCTCTAATATAGTAATAATGGCTGGTGACTTTAATGCTCAAGTAGGTAGACTTAGTGAAAATGAAAGTCACCTGGGTGGATGTTATGGTGTCGCAGCTCAGAGAACAGACAATGGCGACCGACTGTTGCAAGTACGCTCAGATAACCGCCTTTTCCTAGCAAACACTAATTTTAGGCATAAGGGAAAGCATCTTTTGACCTCGCGACCCATAGAGGCGTCTCAACGTAGGACACAACTAGATCACATTGCCATCAGTCACCGATGGAGGGGTTCGATAGAAGACTGTCGCTCGTTCTGGGGCACATACATAGATTCCGATCATGCTCTAATGCGATCGCGTATTTGGTTGAGGCTAACTGGACGCCAGAAAATTATATCAAGAAGACCTCTTAGGACTTTGCTTAATGGCAATCAAGCTAAGAAAATATTTCAGGAGGAACTAGAAAAACCGTTAAGCGACCATCCAAACAAGGTTGGAATGATATTAAAATGGCTGTGGAAACAGCAGTGATATCTGCTAGTAAGGTAAACCAAAAGCCTAGGATGAAGCCGTGGATTTCAGTCGCATCCACCGAACTGATGGATGCTCGGAAACTCATCCCTCCTGGCTCTGAACATGATGAAGAACGAAGTCAGCCTAGGCGCAGGCTGATAAAAAGTCTGTGACGACCGCGAACAGTGGTGGGTGGCGAAAGCAAAAGCGATGGAAAAGGCAGCGGCGATAGGCAACACTAGACAACTTTTCCGACTTATCAAAGAAACCGGTATTAGGAACCCGAATGTGAGTGAGACTATCTCAGAAAAAGATGGCTGTATCATTTATTCTCAATCGAGGAGATTGGCAAAACACTTCAGGGACCAGTTCAACCGGTCATCAGCCACACTATGATTGCCCACGATCCTCAGTCATCCTGAATGGCAAATCGATTTAGGTCCTCCTAGTCTAAATGAAGTTGAGAAAGCTATAGGAAATCTATGGAGAGGGGAAAAGCAGCAGGTCCTGATAGACTGACCCCTGAGTTTTTCAAGGATGGTGGTCCAGTTTTAACAGTTAAATCGACCGAGATCGTAGAGAGAATCTGGGAACTGGACGTAATCCCATCCGACTGATCTCAATCACTGATTAGCCCAATTCATAAGAAAGGACAAAAGTCTTCTGGTGACAATCATAAGGGGAATATGTCTAACTAACGTAGTTTCTAAACTGTTAGCCTCCATTATACTTAGACATCAAACTAGAGCTCGTAAAGAGAAGACTAGAGAAAACTAGGTTGGTTTTCGACCTGGACGTGGCTGTATAGACGACATATTCACACTACGACAGGTCCTGGAACACAGACACACATTTAGACGTCCGACAATAGTCGTGTTCCTGGACCTAAAAGCGGCATTTGACTCAGTGAATCGTGAGGTTCTGTGGCAGTGTCTGTCATTGAAAGGTGTACCAGAGAAGTACATTACCTCATACAAACTCTCTACTGGAACACCACTGGTCGAGTGAGAGCTTATAGCGAACTGTCATCTGAATTCTCTACACCAAGTGGTGTCCGTCAGGGATGTCCACTGTCCCCATTCTTGTTTAACTTCGTCGTAGACATCCTCTTAGAGTTAACATTAAGCTCGTCAGATTTTTCAGGGGTGGACCTTCTGCCAGGAAAATGGCTTACTGATCTAGAGTATGCCGATGACATAGTTCTATTCGGTGAAGACGCTGACAAAATGCAGAGTCTTCTGACTACCGTAAGCAACAATGCAAGCATGTTCGGGATGCTGTTTTCCCCCTCGAAATGCAAAATGTTGCTTCAAGACTGGGTTGCATCGGCACCTGAACTAGTGATCGGGAGTGAAGTAGTGGAGCGTGTTGACCGCTTCACTTATCTCGGAAGTCTCATCAGCGCTGATAGCCTGGTGACTGACGAAATCTCAGCGCGGATACAGAAAGCTCGATTTGCTTTTGCCGATTTACGCCGTTTATGGAGTGATGCCCTTGCAATTAAGTCTATGTACAATTTAAAATTTTCCCGCTGTTTTTCTTCACATTGGCTTTCCTGGTTCTCCAAATCTGAAGCTTGTATGATAACTGATTTTTCTTGATCCCTATGCTCATTAAACGCTTACTCGGTCGTCGTCTCATTTCTTTTGTTCGCTTTTCCAGTTTTCCCCGCTCACGCTATTTCGCATGCTGCCCTAATACACAACGTACTTTCTGGTTTGTGAGGTTTGACGGACTCATGAGATTTCGGTGGAAGGTGAAGAGATGAATGAAATATCTTCCATCGGAATGGAAACCAGCCTGATCCTTGCAATCACAGGTTTCATCCAATCTGAGGAATATGATGGGTGTTAGTAGTTTGTACCTCAATATTTGTACAAATGAAATAGGATTTTTATGTATAACGATAACGGTCACCTTAATTCAGCATGATGGACACTCAAAATGCCGAAATTTCAGAGAAAAATCAGTCATTTCACCACCATCCTTAAAAATGACTGAGGATATGTTGTCTGAGGCTGGTGAATTACGTCGCTTCAAGAGTTAGGGTTTCCCATTAACTTCCACTTTGTTAGGTGAACTAGTCATCTTCAGCCATGGGCGACAAAACAGACTGATTGACTGGAGCAGCAAGGCCAGATGAACTGTTCCCTAAAGAGCTGTGCACATCGTACAAGACGTCGGTAGATGTTGTTGATTGGTGTTCCATCAGCTTCACAGATTGCTTCTCCCACTTCAGAGCTCACGGCAATTACGAGATGAGGATGCTACTTCCTACACGTTAGCACACTTCAACCGCCAAGTTTTTTGGTACTTGCTGAAACTTCGTACAATTTCTTTACGTAAGAATCCACAGTCACTATCAAAATCGTGGTTAGCTGGAGTAGACTGGGGGGACCCTGTCTTAAGTAGCCTGGAATTACCCAGTGTTTATGAGCAGAACGTTTCGTGCAGCCTCAGGTTACCTTGCTAACCATTTACATGGAATCATGAGAAGTAATTAATTCCTACTCATACTTATCAATGGGTTGGCACCTAGCCTTGAATCCAACTTAATTTGATATTCGGTTACAATGGAAGCTATAATCGATTTGATTACATCAATCTGTTAGGATTACGAGTTTATTAGCTACTGAAATGAGATAAGAGTAGAGTAAACCAGGATATGATCATAGTCTAGGTATATACCTTCAAAGAAAGTAGTTAACACTTGGTGTATATTGCTAATAAATAAAAGTGATAAGAATGTGTCAATATGAAAATAGCTGAACAAAGTGCATTTGGGGGTAATAATGTGTCGTGAAAATTCTACTATTAGAGTTATATAATTGTATGTAAATTTTCAAAAATAAATAGTGCTACATAATACATTATCTGTGTTAGACTGCTTTTAGGTAAAAGAATTACACACAAATAACCAGGTTTCATAGAAAAACCCAAATAAGAACTGAGTAACTCTACTGAAATAAAGGGATGTCAAATAAAAAAAATTATAGAAACTGGGAAGCAAGCAACAGATGATCAGTTATAGTTTCGGACTCGTGAGCATTGTATCGCCAGTCGAAGACAATCTGTTTTCGCGGTAAATAATGACTGGTAGATTTTTCTTTCAGTGTCCTTGCATAATAGTCGTAAATAATTTCGGCGTACACTGACTTAACTATCATACTTTCTCAAGAGACTAATGGTAAACCAAATATTGAGCTTGTATATCAAGAAATAATGTTTTAGTATTAATGTAAAAGCAAATGAATAATTCTGCTAACCTTCATTCGAATATTCTAAACAACTTTGGAGATCATGTTCTTTATTCAGCGAATATACCGGTTTGACAGGAAACCTGATATCCCAATACAATACTCTTCCATCCCGTCTAATAAAAATGCGTGAGAAATAGTATATTTCATTCAACAACACTGATATCCGAAGCGCAAAAATATCTTTAGCAAGAAAAAGTACGTGGATATTCTGAATTACATGATGTGAGTCGTTTGAGACGTAAACTCGATTTATAATTAATGATGTTAGTCAGTCAGTCAACAACACAGAACTTCGTACGTATATACATCAGTTCAAGTTGCCATACCACATTAGCACAGAGGCCTAATTGTCAATTAAAATCCCATAGTAGTAGAGGTAGTAGAAGTATTAGCAGTATTTGGAGAGATTAGGGTTTAAGTATATTATTCCAGAAAGAAATAAACGTAAAGAGAAAAAGATAAAGGTGATGAGCAGTTCAGAAGGTTATGATTTGAGGGAATGCAATGAATGAATGCACCTGCGCCTTTGCAAACGGCTTCAAGCGATGTCATACAGGGTCTCTAACCACTGATCACTAACATCCCGCGGGCCCCTGCCAGGTAGTCTTCACCTACTAACATGACTCAGTCTACTTAACAGTGACTTTATGGATCCCTGCATGTTTTCGTTTGTCCGCTACCAGCTTTCTTACAAACTATTCCTGCATGGCAAAACATCGTTCGACGAGGCAGTCGGTGGTTGGGCATACGCACCACATGTCCCAACCACCTCAACGGATGAGGTTTCAATACTTCATTTATTGATCTGCCATCCCTACCTAGTATTCGTTTCCTAACTATAGAATCGCTTACTCGACTGTCCCACGATACACGAGCATTGCTTCGAAGACATCTGTAATTGAATAATGGTAACCTACGAATGTCCTCTACTCTTACTGGCCATGTTTCATAGCCATACAGTAGGATGGAGCAAACTACTGCGCAGCACACTCGTCCCTTGGTTGAAAAAGGGATATCTATCTCGTGTACACCGTAAATGGCGCGATTTCGAAAAAGCCAATCGAGCCCGCTGTGTCTGTGCTGAGATATCATCAGTCACCAGGCCATCAGCACTGATGAAAATCCAAGATAAGTGAAGCGGTCGATGCGCTCAAACTGTTTCACTCCCTATTAGTAGTTCAGGTGCCGATGCAAGCCAATCATAAAGCAACATTTTGCACTTTGAGGGTGAGAACTGTTTCCCGAACATGCTTGCATTGTTGCTTAGGGTAGTCAGAAGACTGCATTTTGTCAGCATCTTCACTATGTAGAACTTTGTTATGGGCATACTCTAAGTCAAGTAGTGAATATACTGTAATCAGATTACAGTGATCCATTTTTGAACCATTGCATAAAATGAAATACTTGAATTTTTGTCAATGGACATAACAATAGCAGTAAATGTCAACAAGGAATTAAATGCATACCTTACTAACAACTACTATTAATCTATAATTTACTACTACCCAATTGAAGAATAGGGGTTTATACTTTTATTCTCATCAGTAAAACATACGGTTATTTTTCTTGATTGGCTTAGATGTTTCGTTGAAGATGAATTCAACACTTTTTCTCCTTGTTACTGGTCATTACTCGATGGTAGCCACCACCTTGGTGTGGTGATTAGGGTTGTTTAATGTGATGATTCAGCCGAGCTACTACTAGTTGTAACACTTATTTTCCATAGGTCGTACCATACAAACCAGATCAGTTGGGAACAGTAAGAATGAAAGCAGTGACTTGAGGTTTGGGGTGTAGTACTAATGAATTTACAAGGGTGCGTAGTGAGGCGTTTCCCATAGACAACCAACATCTTTAGCGATGGTATCTGTTCAACGGAAGGAGGTTAGGAAAAAGTCGATTATAAATGTTACACTTGATCTTACCCCGTGACTTACGTCTTCGGTGGTAGGGAATTAAAAGTACGGGGCTAACACACCAAAAAACATACAATGGAAAGGTCGTGTGTGATCAGCTAGAAGCAGGTTGTGCTTGGGATTTGCAGTCAGGTTCCTAAGTTGTAAAGAAAATTACTATTTTTTCACTTTCGGTACATCAGAAGTATCCTTCTATGGTGTTAGCAATTAGGAAGTGACAATACATATATACCTTTAGACACCCAAGATTTTGTCATGATCGAATTCCCTCGTCATTGCTCATATTTCACTATACTCACTAACGAGAACCTCCTCCTATAACTTTACATTTATCACACGCGTCAACAGTCCTAGTTCACCGGATTCCAGCCCTAAACCACATGTTTACGGATTTCAATGTTCGAAACTTAGACCAAATCGGATAAAGTTTATTAGTTTAAGGCTCTAAAATCTCGAAGTATCGACACATCTGCAAAAACAAGTACATAGCATCCAAGTGTGATTATTTATCATGACTTCATCCAGTCGATGTCAGAAAAACGTCATGATTTAGTCCCCCATGTATCTGAAGTCTCGAATGTTTTTTACGCTATTTTGGACTATAATCAGACAGTTGCTTGTGGGAGTGATAAATGAAAAAGAACCGGACAGACCTTGTTGCTTTTCTTTTCTGTCATCTTTACCTAAACTCCCTTTGACTGAAGTTCAGAAGCGAAAAAAGACGAGCTTCCTCCTTCTTTAACAGCCAAAATGTTCCAGCTCACCGAACAAGCATCAACAACTGAATGCTGTAAATTTGCACGGACAACCGATTATTTTTAGAAAGCACCGACTTTAAGCATGGAGAAAGGTATCGTCTGAAATTCTAAAATTAACCCGACGATGGATGGAAATAGACCATATGGCCATCAGAG